GGCCCTCAGCGCTCACCTGGTCCACCCAGCTCAGCCATGATCAAGGCAATCCTCATCTTCAACAACCACATAAAGCCACAGCTCTCCAAATTCTACCAGCCTTACAGAGAAGATAGACAGCAGCAAATCATCAGGAAGACATTCCACTTGGTATCTAAGAGAGATGAAAAAGTTTGCAATTTCCTGGAAGGATAATAATTAATTGGAGGAGCTGACAACAAACTGATTTACAGACATTTATGCAATGTTATCTTTTGTCTTCTGTATGGATTTTTCAGACAGTGAACTTGGCATTGGAGATATAATTCAAGTATTTGTGGAAACATTACACAAGTGTTTTGAAACTGTCAGTGAACTGAATTCCATTTTCCATGTAAGCGAGGCTCACAACATTCTTACAGAGATGGTGATGGGGGAATGGTATTAGAGACTAATATGAATGAGATTGTTACATAAATTGATGTAAAAAATTAACTGGAGAAATCTGAGGCTGGCTTAAAGGGAGTTCCAGCCCATGCTGTATCAGCTGTAAAGAATATGAATCTTCCTGAGATCCCAAGAAATATTTGGTGACATCAGTATAAAAGTGCCAAACCTGTCCTCTTTTAAATAAAAAATTTGAAAGGCCACTTCCAGGTAAAATCCAGGGGGAAAAGTCCTAAGTTTACCATGTAGTTGTTTATTAGAAACTAGAGGCCCGGCACACGAAATTAGTGCACAGGTAGGGTCTCTAGGCCTGGCCTGTGATCAGGGCCAATCCCTGGCTGCTGGCTGCCGGCAGCCAAACCCGTCCCCCCACCACCAACGCTGGTGCCCTCTGTGTGTGGGGCGACTGGTGGGGCGATTGGGGCCCTGCTTGCTCGAACCCACCTTGCCTGGCACCGCCCAGGTCCGCTGCCACCCACCCCTGGTTCCTTGTTCCCCATAGGGCAAGGGGAGGGACCAAGAGGTTGGCCAGCAGGCCCCCATCCAGCAATCAGGGCCTGCAGGCTGGGGGCAGCTCCTGCATTGAGTATCTGCCCCCTGGTAGTTAGTGTGCATCATAGCAACCTGTCATTCCACTGTTTGGTCGATTTGCATATTACACTTTTATATATATAGATAGAGGAGGAGAGTCTTAACTTATGCCCTTGGATTTCAGTAAAGGTACTGTATAGAAGTTGTGTCAAATCAGTATAGTGGTTCAATGTTGCTTTTCTTACTCAGTGATTTTAAAGAAATAAAGTAGTTCCAGTGTGATTTTTTTTTCTTTCTTTTCTAAACTGCATTCCTATGCCCACTGAAGGCATGCCTTCATGTACTGGCTACAACAGAATTTCAAAAAAGTATTTGAGACATTTCTTTAAATTATGTACAACTCAAAATGTTGGTGCTTTGTATGGATCACAAGTGCAGCATTCCTTAATTCTTTCTGTTATTTGTCATGATTGTTATTTAAAGAACCAAGCATGTACTGCATGAAAACATTATGATCTTTTTCTCTTAGTTTAAATAAACTCCATGGCAACTAGACTAATAAAGAACCTTTGTTTGCCTGATATCTACTTTAGCAATCATTTTTATAACCCTCTGACTCAACAAAGTAAATAAAGGTATATTTTATCACTGTTTAAAAGAATAAATATACATTTAAAATTTTTTTCTAACTCTCTGAAATGGAAACACCATCTGCATGGTTTCCTCCATCCTCACAATCCCTGGACAAACTGCAGGCTGAGGAGACACCCGTGGCCCATGGGCACATCTCCCAGAGCTGCTTGCAGCTGTAGAGCCCTACACCTACCTCACAGGCACGGGGCTGCGTGCCCTAGAACTCCATGCAGTCTTGCAGATACATCTGACTGAACATTCAACTGACCCCTCTTTGACCCAGGGTCTGGGGAAGTACATGAGGGGCCCCAGAAGTAGGATACCCTCCTCAGATTCCAACCCACCCACACCCCCATAGCCCCCATGCCCCCTCCTGGGCCTGCCTGCCCTTCTTCCCATCTCCCCAGGCCTGGGGAGTGGGTACTGAAATAAATGGCTGCATCCTCTTCCTGCCCCAGATTCTCGAGCATCTTTGGAAACTCCACTTCCCCCTCCCTCTTCCGCTGGCTGACTTTCTATAGTGCCCACCCCTACCCACCCCCTGGAAGGAACAGTTCTGACTGGCTTCAGAAGGCTCCGCAACCTGCCTTGCCCTTACCTCCCATGGATCCCTCACAGATACTGCCTCTCTGATGCCATCCCCAAGCAGGCAGGAAGTGCCCTTGTCCTTGCTCTCCACTCCAGCCTCCGCAGACACATCTGGACACCTTTTCTGGCTAAATCCACTTACCATCACCCACGTAAATATAGGGTCTTTCTGTTATTTGTCTCCCTGGGAGATTGCAGCCCTCCATGTGTGTCCTGTCCTTGATTCCAACGGCAGTGTGTTCAACACTGACCTCTCTGAGGCAGTCTCTGCTGGGCCAGCTCCTAGAACATGCCCTGTCCTTTCATCTTTTAAATTATCTAAGGTATCACTAGTTCATGATAACCCTGGGCTAGAAGCTGTCCCTCGCTGCCTTCCCTAGCTTCGTGGTATAGGCCTAGGGAGTCCTGATGAGAGAAGTCGGGTGAGGCGCTTGTGTGGCACAGCCCTTTTCGGAGAATGACAGGGAGGCAAGCCCCCATCACTGTCAGGGCCTTTACAGATCAGAAATCCCCGCAGCCGTAGGCCTGGAGCATGCCTCTGCTCGTTCATTCGTAGTTGACTTTTATCATTCTAATAATTCATAATTACCACGCTGGGAAACCTGTCTCAGATCCTTTTCTCCTGCAGCTACACCAACTGTCCATTTTCCCGTCCCTGAGCCCCTCCCGCAGCCCTAATGACAGGGGACATGGTCTAACCACTAGAGAGCCCTCAACCAGGGCGCTGAAGGCCGAATACAGGGAACCTCGGTGTCCTTGCAAGGGATTTGGGTGGGAAGAGATGACGCGGGTTCGTCTCCGCATCCCATCCCAGTCTCCGAGGCCTGAGCGGCTGTCTTTCGCGCCACCTGGCGGCCGCCGCCTTTAAGCGGAGAACAGGGGCCAGTGATGGCGAACCTATGACACGTGAACTCATTTTTTGGTTGATTTTTCTTTATTAAATGGCATTTAAACATATAAAATAAATATCAAAAATATAAGTCTTTGTTTTACTATGGTTGCAAATATAAAAAAAATTTCTATATGTGACACAGCACCAGAGTTAAGTTAGGGTTTTTCAAAATGCTGACACGCCGAGCTCAAAAGGTTCCCCATCACTAGGACTCAGCGAGGGTCCCCGGCTCGCGGAAACCGGTTCCCTCGGGGCGCCCAGCTTGGAGGACCAGGACCGCGCAGCCCAGGGGAAAGCACGTCTCTGGATTCGGGCGGGTCCCACGACACAGGCGAGACCCGGACCCAGTGCACTCGGCCCCTCGCGGTGGCAGACACGGAGCCCGGACGCTGCGGGGGTCTAGGCAGCTGAATGAGCATGCGCGCGCGCCCGCCTGCTCCACGCGGCGCCCCGCACCACCGCGCGCGCGCACGCACTCCAGGGCGCCCGCCCGCGCCAGGCGGCTCTGGAGCTGGCCACCCGGAGAGCACAGGGCAACCTCGCGCGACGCGGTCATGCGGGCCCCGCCTCACACATTTCCGCCCTCACCTCGAGCGTGAGACGCCGCTGCGGCCTCACTTTCTCATGGGCGACCCCCTCGAGGGCGGGACGGGGTGGTCCGTGCGGCTCCGGCCTCTCACAGAACAGTCTGGGGGCGCCCGGGCCAGGCCGCTCCCACCTGCGCGCGGCGGCAGCCAATGAGAGCCTGGCCTAGTGATGTCATGCCCCTACCCGACCCCGGGGAAGAACGTCCGAGGTCACCCGTCGGAACAGCGCAAACCCACCCAAGGGGTTCCCGAAGTTTCCACTGCGGCGGAGTGCGGGCTCGCCCCGCACCCTTGTGCATGCCACCATTTGACCTTCCCTCCCCGAGTCCCTTCCCCTCCTCTCCTTCATGGGGTCCCCTTCGTTTCCACTTGTGTTCTTATGTGCACATGTTCATTTCCACCGCTGCGCCCGAGAGTGTCCCATGTCACCTTTTCTCCGCCGGGGCCACCGGGGCCTCGGAGGGGGCCCCGCCTGCCATCCCGGCTGCGTCGGGGCCAGGGATGCTAATGGATCCGGTCCCCGGCCCCGAACGAAGCTGTCGCCCACCGTGTCCGAGAGTGTCCGTCTGTGAATGTCTGTCCCTGCGTTTGTCCGCGGCTGTCACTGCATGAGACCGTCCGTCTGCGCGTGTCTGTCTCGCGCGCTTCTGCTCGTCTGTCCTTGCGGGTGTCCGCTCCGCCACCGCCGGGCCTTTGGGTCGCGTCTGTCACCTCGTGTCGGTGCGTCTGTCGGCGGCGGCTGTCACCGGCGTCCGTCTGGGCCCCAGGGACTCCGAGTCTCCGCTCCGAGGGAGGGAGGGAGAGAGGAGGTGGCAGCCCCGGACGGTGAGGAGTGGCGAGGGCGGAGACAGTGGGCGGGGGCGCGGTGCGGGCAGAGGGGTGTGTGCGGGGAGCCGGAGGCGGCTGTCAGAGTCGGCTCAGCCTGCGCGGGGGGGAACAGCGGCCGCCTCCCGCTCCCGGCCCGGCTCGGGCCGCCTCAGGGTGAAGTCTCCCCCCGCTCCGGACCCCCCTCCCCGCGGCCCGTGGCCCGTGGGACACGGCGCCTTCCCGGAGGGATCCAGGCCCCTAATCCGACGCCCAGAGACGCCCCCCACCCGCCGCCCACACTCAGCCTTCCCGCTAAGCTCGCCGCCGAAGACGTAGGGTTGCCGGTGCGGGAGCCGGCACCCCGGAGGGCTGGCCGCCGCCGCAGCTCCCGCTTTCCTGTGGGGACCCCCGAGCGCCCAGGACCCCGTTAGTCCTCAAGTCTGAGGCCACTGGGAGACGGACGCCCCCTGCTGAGGGCGGAACCCAGGCCGCGCAGGTTCCTGGCGTCCGGCTGCCACCCCCACCCCCACCCACCCCGCCGATCCCGCGACCCCAGCGCCCCGCCGCAGCCCCCTGCCTGGCCCAGGCATCCCCCTCCCACGGGGACTCCGTCTCTATTTTGGGGGAAGGGGAGGTTCAGCGGAAGCCCCGAGTTATAATTAGCCCCACTCGGGTTTCCTAGATAATCTCAGCCCCGCCACCACCCCAGCTCAGGGCGGCGGGGGCTGGGTGCCGGGTGGCCGCCGCGAGAAGGAGGGAGTTCCGACCCGGGGAATTTTGATCCCTTGGCTGGAGATGCCGGAACCACAGCAGCTGCGGCCCCAAAATAGCGCCCCCGCCCCCTGCAGCGGGGGATCTCCGGAGCTCGGAGAACACAGGCGTCCCGGTTCGCCCTTCAGACCCCTCCGCAATGCCCTCCAGCCCCCAGACCCCCGCCCCAAGTTTTCTGCTCCTTTGCTTGGGGCGGGGAGCGCCGTTATTTTATCGGTTTCTACTGCCCCCCGCTGGCGGCAGTGTGCACAGCATCATCAGACGAATGAGGGACGAGTCCTGGGGTCCAAGGCTGGCGAACCCGTTCGCGGAGGCTAGGCGACAGGAGTGCGCAACTGATGGGTACCCGCGGGTACCAGCACGCTGTGCCAGACAGTGGACGAGGCGGGCTGGGCGGGGCAGGGTGTGGGTAGGCAGGATTTGGGGTGCCTCAGGACCTGCGGCTCCCACACCCTGAATGCCCAACCCACCCTCCAGGGCCCCAGCCCTGGCCAACGCAGGAGAGGCTGTGCCTTCACGCCACCGCACGCGCCCCCATTGGCACCTCCCATCATCGAGGGCTCCACCCCTGTCGGGTGGCCTCTGCGTGGACTGCAGCCTCTGGTGCGGGTGCCCACAAGGCTCACACTGGGCCCAATCCAGCCCACCCAGCAGGGGGAAGGAGGTGAGGGCGGTGGGTGCCCTGTGGGTCAGGGAGGGTCTGCTTGGCAGGTCTCATCGGCTCCTTACATCTGTCTGTCTGGGTGCGTATGGGCCTGATCTCTGTCCCCTCCGGCTTCTCACTGTCTGCCTGTGTCCTTGTCTCTGCTTGTCTGTCTCCTTCCCTCCATTTCTCTCCTCCTCTTTGCCAACCTGCCCCACCTCCTCTGCAGCTTAGCGATAACCCCTGGGCAAGAGTGTTATCTAATCCCCTCCTGGCAGCCTCAGGCCTTCACCCTCTGCCTTTCTTTCTCCTAACAGCCGCCTGCCTGCCTTGGCAGCCATCTGCCTGCCTTGGCAGCCATGAGGCCCCCATGGTGTCCCCTGCATACTCTCTTCCCACCGTTCCCACTTCTCCTCCTCCTCCTCCTCTTCCTCCTGGGAGGAGGGGCAGAGGCTGAGCGCCCAGAGGACCCGGAGCTGCTGGTGATGGTGCGTGGGGGCCGGCTTCGGGGCACCCGCCTAATGGCCCCTGGGGGCCCTGTCTCTGCTTTTCTGGGCATCCCCTTCGCAGAGCCACCCGTAGGCCCCCGTCGCTTTCTGCCACCGGAGCCCAAGCGACCCTGGCCAGGGGTGCTAGATGCCACAGCCTTCCAAAGTGTCTGCTACCAATACGTGGACACCTTGTACCCTGGCTTTGAGGGCACCGAGATGTGGAACCCAAACCGTGAGCTGAGTGAGGACTGCCTCTACCTCAACGTGTGGACACCGTACCCTCGGCCTAAGACCCCCACCCCTGTCCTCGTCTGGATCTATGGGGGTGGCTTCTACAGTGGGGCCTCCTCGCTGGACGTGTATGATGGCCGCTTCCTGGCCCAGGCAGAGGGGACTGTGCTGGTATCCATGAACTACCGGGTGGGAGCCTTTGGCTTCCTGGCCCTACCAGGGAGCCGGGAGGCACCAGGCAATGTGGGTCTTCTGGATCAGAGGCTGGCCCTGCGATGGGTGCGGGAGAATGTGGCAGCCTTCGGGGGGGACCCGATGTCAGTGACTCTGTTTGGGGAAAGTGCAGGTGCCGCCTCTGTGGGCATGCACCTCCTGTCCCCACCCAGCCGGGACCTGTTCCACAGGGCTGTGCTGCAAAGGGGTGCACCCAACGGCCCCTGGGCTACGGTGAGCATGGGAGAGGCCCGCCGCAGGCCCACACTGCTGGCTCGACTCATAGGCTGTCCCCCAGGTGGGGCTGGTAGCAATGAAACACAGATGGGCGCCCTGTGTCTGGACACGGCCAGCTCAGGACCTGGTGGACACGAGTGGCATGTGCTGCCTCAGGAAAGTGTCTTCCGCTTCTCTTTTGTGCCTGTGGTAGATGGAGACTTCCTCAGTGACACCCCGGAGGCCCTCATCAACGCTGGAGATTTCCACGGCCTGCAGGTGACTAGTGGCTGGAGGGGCTAGAGCTGGTTCCTCTATGCCTGTTCTCCCACTTACCCACCCTACCCCTGGGGACCCAGGCATGAGGGCTCCTCAAGACCCACTTGCAAAGGCTTCTCTTCCCTGAGGGCTCAATCCCAGGGTGGCCAGTGGGACAGAGAGGAAAGAAAATGTGGGTATATTTTCTCCTCTCCGTCCCCCAATCTCATACTCTCTTCCTCCATGGTTCTGGGTCTGGAACTGTCCATCTCTCTGACTCTTTGTCCATCTGTTTCTGTCTGCCTGTCTGTCTGTGTCTGCCTCCACCCCCTCCCTATTCCTTCATCCTGTTCCCCCAGGTGCTGGTGGGTGTGGTGAAGGATGAGGGCTCCTATTTTCTGGTTTACGGGGCCCCAGGCTTCAGCAAAGACAACGAGTCTCTCATCAGCCGGGCCCAGTTCCTGGCCGGGGTGCGGGTCGGGGTCCCCCAGGTGAGTGACCTGGCTGCCGAGGCTGTGGTCCTGCATTATACAGACTGGCTGCACCCTGAGGACCCGGCACGCCTGAGGGAGGCCATGAGTGATGTGGTGGGTGACCACAATGTCGTGTGCCCTGTGGTTCAACTGGCTGGGCGACTGGCCACCCAGGGTGCTCAGGTCTATGCCTACATCTTTGAACATCGTGCATCTACGCTCTCCTGGCCCCCCTGGATGGGGGTGCCCCACGGCTACGAGATCGAGTTCATCTTTGGGCTCCCTCTGGAACCCTCGCTAAACTACACCACTGAGGAGAGAGCCTTTGCCCAGCGACTGATGAAATACTGGGCCAACTTCGCCCGCACAGGGTTAGCAGTGCCGAAGGGCCGATGGCCTCCGGGAGCCAGGGAGGCTGGGAGGACAAAGAGAAGGGGGAGGAAGACAAGCAGAGACAGAGGAAGGGCCAGAAGGAGAGGGGAGAGCTCACAAAGGAAAGGAGGCAAAGGAGGAGAGAATGACAAAGGAGAATGGGAGAGAAAGGAAGGAGAAAGTGGGGTGGCAGATCCTGAAGAATCAAGGACAGTAATGGAGGGAGGCAAAGAGAAGAGATGGACAAGGAGAGACAGAATTACAACAGCAGTTAGGAGCGTGAACTGTAAAGCTGGATCAATTAGATCAGTGGTGATTTTATTATCTGGCGCGCGCGCGCGCACACACACACACACACACACACAGAGTTTACCTGTCTGAAGAAGGGGACAATAAATCCAATGTCACATGGGTGTTGTCAAAAGTAAACGTGATGTTTGTAGAGATAGAACTGGGCCTGGTTACATAACAAGAGCTCAATAAATCACCAATTTTTTAAATGAGAGAAACAAAGACAACGATGGGGCAGGAAAATGGAAGGAAATGGAGAGAGACAGAAAGAGGGCAGACTCCAGATGATGAGGGATACTGGAGAAGAGAAAGAAGGGTTAAAGCAGCAGTGGGAGGGAAGGGATGGGGCTCCCCTTGGAGCTAAGAGGGCATGGGGTCTGGAAGCACCCGCCTCCTCCTCTTCATCTCCATCCCCCAACCTCAGGGCGGGGCAGGCTTGACTGAGGCTGAGCCTTCCCTTTTTTTACACAGGGACCCCAATGACCCCCGGGACCCTAAAGCCCCGCAGTGGCCACAGTACACGGGGGTAGCGCAGCAGTACGTGAGCCTAAACCTGCGGCCTCTGGAGGTGCGGCGGGGGCTGCGAGCCCAGGCCTGCGCCTTTTGGAATGGCTTCCTACCCAAATTGCTCAGCGCCACCGGTATGTAGGGCCAGCGGGTAGGGGCTGGGCCCAGGGGCAAGAAATGGGGTGTGGAGAGAGAGAGGGGAGTGGAAGCCGGCGGGGTGTAACCCCTCTCTTCTCCCCACCAGCCTCGAAGGCTCCCAGCACCTGCCCAGGCCCCGCCCACGGGGAGGCTGCCCCGAGGCCCAGGCCCGGCCTCCCCCTGCCCCTCCTTCTCCTCTTCCTCCTCCTCTCCCGGCTCCAGCGGCTGTGACCACGGCCTCTTCCCCTCCGGCCTCTGGGGGCCCCTCTTCTAATGAGTGGTCGGGCCGGGGGGAGGGCCCCACTCAGGGATCTCCGACCCAGCGCCCCGCCCCCTCAAACCAAGAAGCTCACACTGGACAGGGCGTGGGGGAGGGTTGACCTACGATCCGTCTCAGGGACTCACACGCCTTTGTTGTTTAAATGGAAAAGCCCATTTTCTTTTTTTATAAAATTATTCCTTGGAGCCTGAGACGTGTTGGGGGGAGAGGGAAGACTCGGGGCTAGCTAGCAACTCCCCGTGGGGCTATAACCGTCAACCGTTTCTGTCTCTTCTCTTTTTCCCATTAACCCACGGATGCTCCCCGCCCCTGATCCCTTCTGTCCCTTGTCTTCGGTCATTTTCTCCCCATCTCTCCTCCCTCCCGCCAATCCTTCTCTGGCCCCACCTCCACCCTCATCCTCCCGGTCTCTCGTGTTTCTCATATCCACCTGATCCTCTTTCCACCATCCCACGTGCCGCTCCTTGTGTCCTCCTGCACTCACAACCCCCACCCGACCTCCTTCACGTCCTCCCCCCACCCACTTGTCGGGCGCCCTGGCCGCAGACACGCTGGACGAGGCGGAGCGCCAGTGGAAGGCCGAGTTCCACCGCTGGAGCTCCTACATGGTGCACTGGAAGAACCAGTTTGACCATTACAGCAAGCAGGACCGCTGCTCAGACCTGTGACCCAGGCGGGACCCCCACATTGTGCCGCCCTATCCGCCCGCCCCCCCCCCCGTCCCCAAGTTGTATATACTATTTATCTAAGGGCTGGGATATTACAGAGGAGCCCTAGACCCACCCCAACTTTCCCCTGGGGCTCCTGGTCCTCTGCATGTCTCGGCCGAGCCCCCGACCCCGCGGTGCCTTCGCCCCTCTGGGCTGCCAATAAACTGTTACAGCCAAAGGTGTGTGCGCGACTGGGGGCGGTAGGGCAGAACGCCTAGCCAATTGGGCTCAGGGGATGGGGGTGGTCGCTGGGACCTACGTTCTGGCCCACCCAGCGCTGGGACACGAGGCGCCACCCCTCAAGAACTCGCGTCTGCGCAGTCAGAAGGGAGGTGCGGTGGGGCGGAGCGGCGGTGCATTGTGGGAACCCTACAGGCCACCAGGTCCTCAGGGCCCAGCGGTGCGACCTCCACTGATTCGTGCTGCCCATGCTGCCCGGCGCTATTGTTGCCAGACCTGCGCTCCGGTCCTGCTCGCAGCTCGCCTAAGACCCAACCTGCGCGCCGGTCCTGCCCGCAGCTCGCCCGAGACCCGGGCCGGCCGAGAGTAAGTGCTAGATCCTGAATTCTCCCCGGAGTTCGCTCCACGCCGCCAGACGCTGCTTCCGCCCTAACTCGGCAGCTCTGCTCCTGCCCACCGCCCTGGAGCCACTGAAGGACGTACATCTGGGCCTTGCGCCACCCACCCGCGACACCGCTCGCCTGGCCATCCTCTCGGGCCACTACCTCTACTATCACTATGGCTGCGACGGCCTGGACGACCGGGGCTGGGGCTGCGGATACCGAACTCTGCAGACGCTGTGCTCGTGGCCACACGGCCGGCCCGTGGGTGTTCCCGGATTGATGGATGTGCAGGCCGCGTTGGAGGACATGGGTGACAAGCCCCCTGGGTTCCGCGGCTCCAGGGACTGGATCGGCTGTGTAGAGGCCAGCCTCTGCCTCGAGTACTTCGGAGGACCCCAGGGGCGCCTATGCCACGTTCCCCGTGGAGCTGGGCTTCAGGGGGAGCTGGAGAGACTTCACTGCCACTTCGCAGGGGGCGGAGGGCCTGTAATGGTTGGGGGGGATGCGGATGCCCAGTCTAAGGCCTTGCTGGGAGTCTGTCTGGGGCCAGGCACCAAAGCCTTCGTCCTGGTATTGGACCCTCACTGCTGGGGTGCTCCAAAAAACCCCACTGAACTACAGATTGCTGGGTGGGTGGGCTGGCGAGAGGTGAGCACAACATTTGACTCCAAGTCCTTCTACAACCTGTGTTTGACCAGCCATAACTCTGAAAAGCAGCTGCCTCCCCAGGACTGAGACGTTCCCAAAACAGGACTGTCTCCGGCCCCACACACTCTCAAGGGCAGAGGCTTAGAGACTGCAGGATGCCAGGCCCCCAGGAAGTCCCAGTAGAGCCTGGAAACTTTGGCATCAATAAAGTGACAAGGCCCAGCTTAACCATTGACCAGCCAATATTTGGGAGGATTTGGGGAGGTATATAATATACACTTGGTCAGGAATCACTGCGGAAGTGCTTTTATTGGCAGTAGGGCTGGACGTACAAAAAATTCTGAAGAGCTGGATGGGACAAGGCAGTCACAAGTATAGATGGTACTGAGAGTGAGGGAAAGTCGATGGCTCAAAAGAAATCCACATCATCTGGAGCATCCAGGTCACGGTATTCAACAATGGCCCGTGGATCTCCACGGGCCATCCTGTGAGATAAGAAAGAGGTAAAATGGGATGAGAGTTGAGGGTCCCAGTTTGAAGAGGGCAAGAAAACTTGGACATCTTAGCTCATTCTCACCTGTTTCGAGGTTTCCCAGGATAACCTCCCTGGCCTCGGAAGGCATCATAGTTCCCTCGGCCAGCACCATAAGGGGCGTGGGGATATGGAGGCCCTCCTGTGGGGACTGCAGGGCGGACAGCACCAGCTATGAAAAAGATCAGTGTTGAGTTGAAAACCTATGACCTCAACTATATCTTAGCTGCTTTCTCCCAACCCCTCACAACCACCAAGCCCTTTCAAGACCTTCCTATACTTACCTCCATACCCCAAAATAGGGGGCCGGGGCTGGCCATAGGGCATCAGGCTCTGGGGAGTCTGGTGTGGGTAGGGGAGTCCTGGAGTCAGGCCTGGGGGGAGTACAACACAGACAGGGACATGAATTACTGGGGAAGGAGGTCTGGGGGGAGACAGGACACAACTAGCTGTTAGGAATATGGCCAGAGGGGGTAAGGCAGAAACTTTTTCAGGGGACAACAGGATAAAGAACCAGGAGTCCTTGAAGAGTCAAGGGAGAGTGAATGTGGCAGACCCTCATGGATCGTATCTTACTCTGGGCAGGGCCAGGTGGCTGAGCTGGCTTGATCTCAGGCAGAGCTGGGCGCTTAGCATCAGTGAGAAAGTTGTTAAAAAATGCTACCTCCTTCTTCACTTCCTCAATTTTCTCCGAATGCTTATTGAAGATATGTTTGCGTACAAACTCAGGTCCCTGGATGCAGAGGAAAGAGTCAGAACTGAACAAGCAGTTCCCTAACTCCCCAGACCCCACAATAATCACCCTTCCCTCCCACCTATCCCATAATATCCCAGACCTTGAATTTCTTGCCACTGAGAGGGCATAGCCACTTATCCTTGCCCAGTTCCTGGGTGTTAGAGGTGACAAATTTTTCCACTTCCTGCTCAGGATCTTTGCGACCCATCTTCTGGGCCTCTTCCTCTGAAAGAGATTCCCGCACACTCAGCAGTGGAGTCAGCTTCTCCTCAAACGTCTTCTGCCACTCTAGAACTGTGGTTTGGGAACAAAGGCAGACAGCAGGTTGAAAAGGAAGCCAGAGCAAGGAATAAGCAAGGAGGGGATTAGAGGAGAAGGTGACAGAGCACTGCTTCAGAGCAGAACTAAAACCAGCCAGGGAGAAAGGGGCACTAGAGGAGACTCAGGTGGGGAGCTCACCTTCTCCATGACTGATGCGGTTGGGTGGCATGGGTCCCCGAACATGGATAATGCCACAACGGTTGGGCATTTCATCTTCATTGGGGTACTCGCATGTGTTATAATAATCCAGGGAATGCACAATGCGCAAATAGAGGAGTAGTTTGTCCAAAACCTAAGGGAAATGAAAAGCCATGAGTTCACCACACTCGCCCTATACCACCCCAAGCCAGGTTCTCATCCCACTCTGCTCTCACTGGCACCTTGATCAGCTTCTCATCTCGTTCCACGTTGATCTCCGCTGGGTTTCCTTCCTTAGGAGGCTCCTCAGGCGGGGGCCCGCCACTACTCCCCAGCAGCTCTTCCTCCTCAGCACTCACTTCCTCAATCAGGTAGTCAGTGATATTCTTCAAGATTGGGTTCTGAGAGGGCAGGCTCTAGTTGGGAGGGAGAAGAAAAGCAAGTGAGGCAGAGAAAGCCCCTTAGGGTAGGTAGCCTAGGAACCTAATTTGAAAGGCAAGGTGAGGCTGAAAGAATTCAAGGCTCACTTGGCCTGTTACCGCTGCCCCAGGATTTGTCTTCATGTTTGTATTTATTCTACACATTAGCCCACAAATAATCACTAACACCAATCTGTTCTCCTGGAAGACCAGAGATGCCCACAGATGAGGGGGTATTGGCTGCTTTTGAAAAAGTTCTATGGAGAGTCACTGACTGTTGGCAGAGGAGGTGTCCCCGGCTCAGAGGCCCAGAGCTGGGTCCTGTCGTCCAACGTATGGATCAGCTTGGCTGCCAGCTTGATGTCATTGCGCACTATCTGCTTGTGTTGAGTAATGCCATTGATATTGCGGACACGACGGGTCAGGTCTCTGTTCACACCAGGACTCAGCTCACACTCCCGGAGCTGGGAAGAACAGAAAGCTTACCAACACTTGCCCAAGAAGCAGCAACTCAAAAGACTGGCCCTATTGAGAGCACCAGTGATTAGACTGTGAGTTCCCTGAGGACAAGGATCAAGTGTGTTAACCAAAACAGTCCCAGAGCCTAGCCCAGAGACAACAGTACACAATTAATGTAAGCAGACTAAATAGATGAAATAGGGGGCAAAATGAAAAAATAGGAGGCAGAATGAAAGAAGCAATCAATGAACAAAGCATTCGGAGGTGTGCAGCATAGAGAGCCACACTTCTTCCTCACAACAGTCCTGCTCCCAGTACTCACTCGGATATTCTGCAGATTCCAACAGATCTCTTTGATGTTAACGCTGCGGTCAAATGTCACCCAGCCACGACGGAAAAACCTAAACAAGAACAAAGATGTTAACATAATCCTGGGGTGAAGGTGATGTTGGCCATTAACCTTCCCCCTGCACCTTTTCTCCAAGGTATCCGGGGTCACACTTCTCTCCATCCCTCACCTCCTCTCAGGCTGGGGCTCCGATAATGCCACACGCATAAAGCCTGGATATCTTTTACAAAGCTGGACAAGCAGAGGAACAGAAACCCCATTAGTAATTTAAGGATTCACATCTTCCTTCAATCCCCCCTATCCTCAGGACCCTAGGGAACTGCCTTCAGTCTTTACTCGGACAAGGAAAAAACAACAAAGAGCTTCAGAGTAACAGCATTTAAAAGCAAATGGTGCAACCAGGACCAGCCCTGGAAAGGCATGGGCCCATAGGAAAGGAGCCTCCCTGTTACAGAAATAGGGATGTATGTCAGAAGCAGTGTCAGATTATCTTCTCCCCACCTAGTGTACCGTCCCCGCCTCCCAAATTCTTCCTCCACCCGACCTTGGGCAAAACATGGAGCCTGGGTGTTGTCCCTGCCCCCAGTGCCATTTTCCCTACTCACAGAAATGATCTCAGCCCGGGAAATGTTAGGTGCGATATTGCGCATAAAGAGAGAGCAAGTCTTATGCAGAGGCCGGGGTTTACATTCCAGCCCAGGAGCATCCTTGGGCTTCTCCCTTTCTTCTTCCTTGGGCTTCTCCTTTTCCTTGAGTGCTTCTTCTATGCAGGAAATGGCGGGAGTTGGTTAGTTTTTATTATTGATTTTGGAGGAGATAGAAAAGCTGTCAAACTCCCATCCCACCTCCCCCACGCCCTTCTCTCCCAAAAAGCCACCCTCCCATCAATTTCACCGTCTCACCTCCCCCACCATTCATAGAAAGAGAATGGACTAGGAGAAAATAAAACGTACCAGCCTCCTCCTTCTCCTCCTCAGCTTGGCCACTCTCTGACTCTGACTCTGACTCCGACACACTGCCTTCGTCAAAGCTGTCATCACCACTGTGCTTCCTATTCCGCTTCTTGCTACTCTGTGGGAGCCACAGCAAGAGGGGATGAGCCAGACTACCAGGACCCCAGTCCAGACACTGACCACATGCAAGAGATCCTCTACCTTTTTGGCTTCTTTTTCAGAGTCTTCTTTCTTCTCTTCCTTGTCCCCATCACCCTCAGATTTCTTAGTTTTGTCATCACTAGAACTGCCATTTTCAACCTACAGGTAGAGACAGTCATGAGAATGTCCATTTCCCCAACAACCTTTATCAGAGGACCCCTCCCACCCTCAACAACTGAGCCCAGAAGTTCACCTGTCCCCCACCCAATACACAGCCCTCTAGCTCTAGCTCCTGTGGACCCCAGCACAATTGAAACAGTTCCGTTCCCCTGGCACTCACAGGCAGCACCCAGAGACCCCAGCACTCAGACCTGTTTGCCATCTTCTTTCTTGTCTTCCTTCTCATTGGCCTTGCGCTCTCCATCCACCAGGCCTGGTCCAGCCCGCCCTTCCTCTTTCTTGCTGGGCTCCCCAGGCTTTCCTGCCTGTTCCTCCTCCTCCTCCTGCTCCAGGATGCGTAGATCATTCTCTGTACCTCCTTCCATCTTAATCACAGCTACCAACAAAGGGAACAGAAGTCACAATCCAATGGTCCTAGCTTTCATCCTCTGGCTTTCTGTCAACCTGCTTCTATTTCCCAACCAAGACCTTGGTCACCAGACATCCACTGCCCAAACCAATCCACACACCTGCATCCAGCATCTTGACAATGGCATCAGCTTTGTCTATGTCCAGGAGAAGATTATCAAACCAGCCACTCTCCATGAGGGACAGGAATACCCTCAGTCGGTTTTGCAGGGCCCCTCGGGCCTCCTGCCGACGCTTCCCCACCTCATCTGGGTGGTACTTAGACCGAAACCTATGAAGGAAGTGGGGAGGGAAGAGACAAAATAGTCACTGGAGGCCAGGGCCAGGACATGGGGAGGGGCCCACGAAAATCAGAACTTTGCCCCCATCCTCTCACACCCATAAAAGATCATAAAAGCAGATATTGGGGAGAGGGGTATAATAAAAACACCCAATATCCCCAAAGAAACCAAAGGTTATTTTCTGAGAAGATTTGGGGGAGAGCCAGAAACTAAGAGCTCTAGATTTGGGAAGAGTAATGATTATAGGGGGGCCGGGGTTAGAGAGGCAGATCAATTGCCTTAAATCTCTGGGAGACACTAACTTAAAAAGT